GAGTAGGGTCACAGTGTTAAAAGATGACGTGGTATATGTGGCCTATACCCCAAACTCCAAAAGAGGTATGCCTGACTTTAGTGCTTTGCTTGAATAGGGTACATCATACATGGTGCAGAAAAAACAATCAAAGTTCTTTCTCTTCTCCTCCAATCAGCATTCAGGGTTTGTAAACAAACAGTAGCAGGTTTCAGCCCACTGTTTTGGGTGGAGGAAGCTGTAAACATCAGACTGTTGATGTATCAACAAAAGGGTATCAAGTTTCCAGTGTTAGAAGCAGACTCTGGGATATTATGTCTACTAGATTGAATATTCAGTAACTTGTATGACCTGCTTACTGAATACAGATTAGAGTTGGCTATTTGGGTAGGTGATATCCACACACCTGTTGATGCGAATTTTTGGTTGGAGATTTCAGATCAACATAATTAGATCAAGGATGGTTATTAAATAAAATGAACCTCCCTGACTCAATAGTATTAGATAGGTGCATGCCAAAAGAGCATTTGACAGATAGCCATAAATTACAATTATCATGTACCAGTATGTCAGATAATTCTCTCAAAATAGATATCTAACATGATTATAGGATGTAAGTGTTATGAAAAAGTCCTGACATCCCAGACATAAATTTTTGAAAGGAGAGAAACTGTGGAATACATGACAATGGATTGGCCTGCAAATCTCTATACATTTAACATCACAATGTTTTTACATTTAGAATTTTATCATAGAAAATTCTAATAATTATTGAATAACTGTAATTGTGCAGCTCGCTGCTCAATTTCTTTCTGCCATGCACATAACAGAAAGGATTCAGATATCAGAAAATTGATCCTCATGTCTGGGGGGCACACAAGCTTTACATGGAGCCAATTAATCAGGGAAGTGATCACAGGCAGACAGGATGTGTTTGTGTACTTGTTGAAATTAAGTATTACCTTTGATTAGGCAATAATGAGACATGCTCAGTGGGATGTACTTGACAAAGCCAAGGGGATTACATTTGGTACAAATGGATTTGTAATCTCACATCTACAGGGGCCTAAAATTAATCAATTTCATGTAAATGCACTCAATGTTTGCATTATGATGTCCAGAAGGTGCAGATTTATTAAGAAGATTATCATATGGCTTAGAGGGTAAACAGATTTCAGTATCTTAAAAAGAGCTGATGGGTAGAAAGTCACAGATCCTATTCAAATTTTCCATAAAAGTTATATTTCTTATTAAGCACACTACAGGTGGAACACTGGTGCAATGCATAATCAATTTTGTACAATATTGACCAATCTTAACATTGTTTATAACATATTATAATGAATAAAAAGGTGAATCAGATGTATTGTTACACATGCTCCAACATAACTGTTGTATACCTTCTTATTTTGCTGCCTTGGAATTTAGTCTTCTAAATTTGTACGATTTTGCTTGAATAATTCTTGCCAAGCAAGCTAGAATAACAATCTTTAAGTTTGTGTAAGATCTATATTTCTTGGTACATTCTATCTATCATACATATTCTGCATACATCAGGGGCCAATCCACATATTGAATTTCTTTTATTTCTCCACTTGTCTTCATTAAAATCTCTTTCAGACTAATCTAAAAATCTGCCTCCCTAAAACCGAGTGACTACATTGGATTATATTTTCCCTCAAAGTTGATATTCCAAAATGTTGATTAATGCCCACATCCCGCAAATTTAATTTGAATCCTTTGAAGCATTACATATGACAAAACACTGCTAACTCATTTTACTGTGCAAGACCACAGCTTCTATCTTGAAAGGGAGGATCATTAAATAAACATCGAAGGAACTCATTAGACTTATGGCCTTGGTCGTACTCTAGCAAATTACTTTTCCGAGCCTCTTGGGTATTGGCATCGGGGAATACCTAATAATTAAACACTTTCTTCTGACAAAGAAATTCCAATACTTCAAGTCAGAACTTTCTTCTAATTATAGGAAGCTTGCTTTTCAAATTGACAAACATAGGTTTATTCTGATGCCCTTTAAGAGCTCTAATGAGGAGATTGTATCAGAGTCATCAAGAACATTGGAATTCTTAAAAGTTTATTTGGCAAGAGTTAAGAAATGAGGGCTAGAAAAAATGTTGTGTTTCCTGTTTCCCCGACCGACCCTTGAAAAAACTGCTGACCCTAACCTTTTTTTTGTGGATACCTGCAAGGGACATGAATTTTTCAAGCTGATCGACCTTTTCTAGGTCCATGATCTGACACCTGAGGGATAAAACATTGTACAATAAGTTTTCCAACATTGACATTGAAAATAGAAGTGTGCTCATGCAAGTTTTAGACTTTGTTAAACTGTATTGTATAGGTTGGATCACTAGAGATGGCCAAAGTCTGAAAAAAAGATAATCCAAACCTACCAAAACTATTTTTTTAGGACTGATACAGGAAACACAAATTTTTTTTTCCTAGGCCTAATAATAGGATACCTGGCACCAGAATGCCTGAAGAAAAAACAACAACCCGACCAAAAAATTTGATCACAGAACAGTTTGTAAAAGGAACCGACCAGGGCCTTGTAACATACACCTATGGGCAGGTTATTAGCCATATATTAATGGATAACCAATATAGGAAATGCAAATATTTGAAACTCCTAATGGATACAAATGGGGCAGAATGTTTGAATAGTCTGTGGTTTATTTGTAGTTATAGGAACCAACTCAGCCTTCTGGCACCATATAGTACATCTGGGTGGGAATTAACTCTGCATTAATATTGTAAGCAACATAGGAAATACAAATATTTGAAATCTCTAATGGCTAGAACAAACTTGGCTGGCAGTCAAAAAATGTGCCTGCTTTATAAACATTTTGATCAGAAAAAAAAAGTGTAATTATAGTAAAATACCATGCATAGTGTAATGGTCAGTTGTCATAGTTGTCATTTGCTGATTGAATAATACAGTCACATACAACATGTAGTTCTTCACTGCATTTATCTCCATAATAATATCAATATTACAACACTACATTTAGTCTTTAAGACATGGTGTCAAGGTGGTCTTGTGGTTAAGGTTTTTGGCTAAGAATCCAAAGGTTCTGGGTTCTAATCCCTGGCAGACCCCATTGCTGACTGTCCTTGTTGGGAAAAACATGTATTTCCTCACTTGACTGACAGGTGTAAATGAGTACCTAGCTTCAGTTACGGTTGTCCTCTCAGATAGGATGTAAAACCAGAGTTCCCGTGTTTATAAGAAGAGCCACACCTTGAGCAAAAAATTGTTAAAGATTCCACCAAAAGCAGGGTCTTTCCCTATGTGAGTGGTTCAAACCTTACAGTCTGGTCTCAAGTTTGACATCTTGAAGAGGCGGTAGCCACCTGTTATGTCAATCTGTCCACAAATGCGGTAAAGCTTCATAAATGAATTATTAATAAATATATAAGACATGCGGCCCATACATGTGCAGACACCAACTGTGCCTTCCTCGTCTTTCCTCTCCCTCCGTCTGTTGGTGACCGTGACGGCTGTTCAATTCAAATCAATTCTCCAAAGAAAATGCACCACAACCAATCGATTCAGCCCATTGATTTAGGTTTAATACGGCAATTGTTACACAATTACATTGCCATTCACAATGATTACACTGTGTACGAAGATATAGAGGCACAATAATTAAGACCCCTTAACGGAGGCCACTGACAGTCATTTTTTTAATGTAACTGTGTAATGTAATGGAAGAACATAACATTCAAGTGAAACAATTTGCCCAGTATCCACCAGCAAATTAAACCCTGCAGGTATGAAATAAACTTGTCAACTTGAAAGAGCATAATGTGGTTTTAAAAAGTCCCTGGCCCATTTGCAATAACTTCTTCACACATTAAATGAGGTTCCTTGTCTGAGGAGAAACTGACTCAGCACTTAAAACACAGACTCTCATTTCTCTATAGTGCTGTAAGATCACCTTTCCTGCCAACCCTGCACTGTTACAGGACAGGGCTCGAAATACATGTATCACCTGCACAATGCCATGCAGGTTATATTAGTGCAGGTAAATCTGAGCTGTGCAGGTACAAATTGTATTTCTGATGTCTAGTACCTGCACCTAACCTGAACTGGTTCATGTACTGGGTTTAACTTTACGTATAGTATTACTAGGTGAATGAGGATTTTTATTTGCATGCTGCATTGACCTATGAAGCATAAATTTTATATGGCAATGGTTTCTGAGCAGTTTTTGTATGATCCATACTTCCTAAATTCGAAATGGTGCAAGTAAAATTTGTCTGGTAGCTTTCAATGCTGCCTGCACCAGTGCAGGTATGCAAAAAAAAAAGGATTTCAAGCCCTGCTGATGACAGTTTCACCTGCAGGGTGACTCTATACCATGCACCAGCTTCAATATTTTATAGCCCGATCACCTGGAGTCCCCCTGAGGAAATAAACACTGTGGAAGAAAAAAACTCCAAAGCCTTTCATCTCTGACAAGTTGTCCCTGAACACGGAAAGAAAATGCCTGCTGAGCCCGAGGTCAAAGCCCTGACAGACAGAATCTCACCTTCCTACACGAGAGACAGCCTCTCGATTAATAAACATGATTTGGGTGATACCACCCGGCATTCTGGCGGGACCTGACAATCAATATAAATCAATGGAGTGCATCACAGTGCATGTGAACTTGTGATTTGCCTGGCCAGCGCTGTATTACTCATATGCCCAGCAGGGGGATGGAGCCATCAGCATGAGCATGTCATGTTCAGGGGCAGGCTGGGACTCATTAAGTCATCACTTCATCTGCTTGACAACACTATCCCAGGGATAGGAAGCCTATAGAAACTTTGAAAATGTTTTTATGAAAAAGTAAACACAATTTGATACCAGTGAAAATGTCTCCAATGCTAAACTTTCCTACTTTAAAAGTTTCCAAATGTGACAGCAACCGTGTCCTTGGTACTACTCTCATCTAGCATGTCATTGAAGCCACATAATATATTAATTCCTGCAGTAAAAAATTTCTTACCTCCAAGGCCTTCATCTTTTTGGAGAGCAGACCATCGATTTCCTTGGCTGTTTGCTGTACCAGTGCCAGCCCGTCCACATCCACAACATTCAGGTTCACCTGGTGATCACGATAATACTGCAACACAACATACACAGACAGATTCAATATTCACTGTAATAAGAGTTAAGAGTTCTCCCTGCAACCCTTGACATGGTAACTTATAGCAGCACCCATCTCTGTTTCTGTAGCCCTTGGGCCACACAATTGTGCAAACATTACAGGTGGCTTGTCCACTGGTAATGTAATGTGTTCAACTCCCATACTCTTCTCAAATGCTAAGCAGAAAAAGCAGTATGTACCATTTTTAAGTCTTTGGTATGACTTGGCCAGGGATCAAACTCAGTCATGACCTACCAAATGCAAGGCAAGCACTCTATTATGTGATTCAATATGCACAATATAAACATCTGCTACAACATTAATGAACAGTGTTGTTTATTTTGGATTGTAGGATACATACAATTTGATAAGTCAAATTATAGTTTTTCTAATTGCACAATACTGTCGATGGCAATTACTCAGGCAGAATGGACGTCATTCGTCATTTCCATGCCTGTGTTCTCCAATTGATTTGTAGACTTAAACAAGGATATTGACTCAAAGTAATGTTCTGTCTTAAACTTTCCTGTGGAGACAATTAATGATATGATAATGGAGCTGTGCATGTATTTCTGATATCTAGTACCTGTATTTATAATGCATGTGGATTTTGTTTGCTGTATTGACTGTTACCAGCTACAATGTAATAATGAAGACTAAAAGATGCGATCTGGCAATTGGTTTCTGATGGTGCAGATAAAACGTGTCTGGTGCTGCAGTGAGGTAATTTTCAATGTTACCTGCAAAAATGCAGGTATGCCTGCCCACAAAAAAAGCATTTTGAGCCCTGTAGAACATTTATTATGATTCACGAAAATGATTTCAAATTGCTGAGTGTCCAAGTATCTGTGGTATGTACTGGGAAATGCAGACAGCATTCGATGACTTGATGTTTCAATACGAGCAAATTTAAGTTGACAGGACAAGCTCTATAAGGCAACAATTATGAGAAAACAGACTGTGGCTATCTTCTTTGAGAATTCTCACCTTGCAATGAAAACTACAGAGTAATTTCTTGCCTTGGAAATGTTAACGTCCCATTACCTTAATGTGACATAACATTAAAGTTTGATTGATATTATCCTGTTTTCAGAACTTTCAAGGTTATTTCACTTGGGTATACAATCATGGTGTTGTGAATTGATATCATAAAGAATATGTATTAGCACGATGAAAAATTCAAGGTGATAGAAATATTGCACTCAACATAATTAGCCCAATTTGTTACCTAAGGGTTTGACACAACATGCATTATTTACAGTCTGGCATTCTAGCACATCAATTACTGCAAAACTAATAAACAAGACTTAATAAATAAAACATTCGGAAAATTCACCAAAGATGGATTGATTGTCACTTATTGCAGTTAAGCACTCGTGAAAAATGGAGAAACGTAAAATGTCTTGATGTTCTGCCAGCATGGTCGTTCCATGCATCCGCACCGCAGTTTGAATCATCCTAATAAATACCAACATGGCCTATATGATGAGAGGAGGTATTGCCTCCAGCATTTTGGGAATGTAAAGTACATTATAGGCTGGAATTACAGCAATTGTGAGACAGGGGGCATCCGACTATTGACCTTTCCTATGATTACCACCGGCCGAACAGCCAGCCGAATCAGAGCGGAGATTTGATCAAGAAGACATCAGAATGGGAAATGGCTGCTCCTTGTCGGATCCAATCTCGCGGAGGATGCTTCACCATTTCAACAGGATTAACAGGTATAGGTGAAAACAGGAGCGTCTGGCCGCAGGACGGATTACGCCAATAAAATCCGCCCAGGCCAAAACCCATTAGGACATCGCAATGATGACCCTTACATTTCCACCTAAATGGGTAAAACAATCTGCCCATTTCCAACACTGCAGGTAAAACCCTTGCTAGATGATGATTTCCAGTCTCACTTAACTGGAAAGTAAACTGATAGGAGAGCAATGTTAGCCAGCCAGGGAAGGGCACGGGGATATACCCAATTTGGCATTCTGGCAAGGGTGCTGCGCTCTGGCATTTGCACTGCCTCTAAAAGCTTCCCTCAGCTGTCAAGGTACCAAACAGATTAGAACCGTGCAAGCCACAGGAATTCTATATAGGACACCAATTCAACCATAATCAGAAAAACATTTTAAACTCAACCATGAAACCGTAACCTAAATATCTATTGAAAACCATGCATAAAGATTACCGGTATGAATTTGAATGATAGTGACTGTCTTAAAATTGACAATGACATTCCCACTTGAATATAATCTAAGAGAGGATGAAAACAATTAGTTCAATACAAAAGAAGTTGTAAAAATAACTGTTTTCTTGATGGGTTAATAGCATTCAATATTTCCTGTCCCAAAACAAAATTTCTGCTTTCTTTATCACTACTTTGCAATGGAAGTGCAGGAGATATACAGTACACTGTAGTGCAAATCAGCATAATTCCAATACTCCCTTCAACTATAATAGCAAAATAACATTTGGCCTTGAAGAAAATAGGGTTATGCACATGTATATGCCCTTATATCATGCTGGCCTTGACTGCGGCTTAGATCTCACAACACTATGCAAGCTTCTTGTCAAATTGTTATGTTCAAGGTCATCTGACTAGCTCCAGGCAGCTGATATTAGATATTACCACAAACCATTAGGGCTGAGTCAGGAAGAATGGAGAGGGGTCCATGGAAATGTGTGATTTTGCTGGAATTGCACCTAGTGTTATATTAATGCTAAAGGACAGATTCTGAAGGAAAATTGGTACACTCTACCAGTGTTCTAGCTGGCTTCTTTCTGTCATTAGACAGAATTTTTTTGCTCATGACAAACAAATTTTTTGCCCTATCAATCATCTAGGATGGATAAAATCTGCATTTAAAGACATGGAAAGAGGTGTCAATTAAACAAAGCTTAGTCTACCAGCAAAATTTGCCTCTTAAAATGCATGAAAAAGCATTTCAGGATCAAGGTCAAGAATTTCAACATTTTCCTGGGTGAGCATGCCCCAGGAACCCCCTTTTTTATTGTTGCACTTTTGGCACTCCACACAATGTTACATCAAACAAAATTGAGATGACAGAAAAAAACTGCAATGCTAGAAAAAATTCAGGCTGGCTAGAACACTGCACTCAGAACACAGTCTCAAAAAATTGTGATGACTCATCAAAATGACATTTCTCACCCCCTACCTCCACACATCCCTTCATTCCTGCTCCATCCCTCATCCACAACTTCTGATTCTCTAACCAACCATCATGCTGACTTCATCCTGACTGATTGACACAACAGGCTGTAAGCTCGCACGCTATTCTGTTGAATGAATTAGAAAATCCCTACTAGTTGAATCTGACAGTCTCATCGCCCTTTTAACCTGTTGACTCTTTTATGCATCTAGAATCTCATACATTGTCTAATAGCCTGTGGACAGTTTCAATAGTCTTCCTTTGTCAAGGCAAAGAATTAAGTGCTACCAAGGTGACTTGGTTAATTCAGAGATGGGAAGAAGTGTTTATTATAGTTTTCAACAAACAAATTGTAGGTAATCCGATGTTATATAGAAAAATTAGACGATTTGTTTTTGGATTAAAAAAAAAGGAAACAACTACTCTTTCAGGTTATTATTAAAAAATAATTTATAGAAAATACTTTTTACTTACATTTTTCAGTTCCTCCACTCCACTGTACTTCCTGACAATGTTGTAGAGCTCCTCTTCCAGTCTATCACCCCACTCCATCACTCTGTCAACACAACAAACTTACAATAAAAACACAAACCTCAGAATATTGGGGTTTTCTTTTTACACAACAGGTAAGGCCACACCGACTTAATTTTATGGATGGCATCCTCTGAAGTCCCCCAAACTAGTGCATGTGGGCGAAGAAAAGAAAAATCCAGCCAAAAATAAAAATGCTACTAAATGCTATAAACAATCAAGACACCATGTAAGATGGTGACAACTTTAGGATTTTAGGACTTTCAAACTCTTGCTTCCACTCCCATATTTACACTTTATACAGCGGACATTTAACATTCGACATTAAACACATGTTGAAAAAGCTGTCTGCTAGAAGTCGAAATAGGCATGTTATTTCAACACGATATCTATAGTAAACTTGGTCAAGCGAAGATCCCGCCAATACAGGGACGCCTAAAGCTTAAATATACTTTCTGTTGTTCTATTGTGAAAAACTTATCCGATAAGACCCTAAGTATGTATGATATGTAAGGTGTATTAAGGTGTTACGCTTAGCTATTGTAGTGCGCAAAGGAGTGCCGTTTCTATAGGTTCTTTAAATCTTAACATGAAATTTAAAAAAAAAGTTAAATTTTAACTGTTTAGTACACTTAAATGATAAATGAAAAATGGCAAGGTTCATACACAAGGAATTCATATACAAATTATGCTAATGAGTTAATAACCTCTCTAAATATAGATGTGATAATATTTGTCTTAAGTGAAAGTAGATTTGTTGAATGTGAATTCATATATGGTAGCAGGCAGGGAATTGTACTATATTAAACAGAAATCCTATATACATGTACATGTACATATAAGAGGAAACTTCAACATAGCATGTCAGACTGGTAAGAAATAATATCTATCCAATCTCTGATTGATCATGATTCATATGATATCATCATAATCAATATAGAAAATAAAGCAGCTTTCTTCATTCCTTTTTTCATTTTTGACAACATTTTATAGCCAATTGTGGTGACATCAATTCTAATAAACTTTGCAATAACCTGCATTATAGAAGCAATAATTCTGTTAGTTACATATTCCTGTGTGCAAATTGATTTATGATTTGTGTAAAGTCAAGATATAGACTAAAGCAAATATTTAACATAACAAGACGAGAATGTTATGTTAGGTACAAGACTTCCCCCACCCATTCTGAAGGAAGTCATGAAAAATTCACAGCCAAAATGGGGAGCTTACAATTATTGGTCCCGAACTGGCGAGTGCCTAATTACCACATAAAAGAGAAAATTATGCAAGAAATCAATCATTCCACCACCAGGAGAAATATCATCCCCTTGGGTCTTCTCAGGTGGCACAGAGAATTTTGTGGCGTACACAAATACCAAAGGACTTGTTGCCTCTATTCAAACAGCATGATTTTTTCCCACTTGTTATTCAGTCAAGTGAATACACAGGTGAATACACTTAAGAGTGGAGCATACATTTTCTTAATGTTTTTTTAAGTTTCTCTTCCATGATGTGGCAATTTACAGATCCCTTGTGCTACACAAATGGCTAACTGGTAATGCGGCCCAAGGACGAGGGATTATTAAAGCAAGGACATATTATAGACGAGGTAGATATTAATTGATAAATCATGCGCTGTCACTTCAAAAGTATCGGCACCCTGGCATCATTTCTAGAATTGCTGGGGACTGATTTGGATCAAGGAATATTTTCAAATTGATTTTTAACCCCCTTGTTTGGACTTGCCTTCTTGCTTGAAAATGAAAGTCCACAAACAATTGAGAACATGGTAAACATTGCTGACAGTGCTAATAAACAGCATACTGATTTGACCCGGCCCCACTATCAACTAGCCATTGCCCTAATTCAAACTGACTACAGGTCTCCCTCTAGAATTTGTCCAGCCACCATAATAGTTCTATTGCTATAAATGTTGTGTATATCAATGAATATAAAGGCCAAGTTCATCCATATTGATTTCAGTCCAATTGTGGGTCTGGGCGTGGTCCAAGTTCAAATGTCTTGGTGACACCTGTGCCCTCCTATATAGTATATATTGAGTCCTATACGATTTTTATCACCCAGTTTAATATTTGTTCTTCAGCCCAGACTATTGTAGCATTTGACAGAGAGTACCTTCTACAAATTTGTCTACACTCTCACGCTTATCAGGGGACCATGTTGCCCACACTCCACAAATATGGCATGTTTACCCAGCAGGTTCGGAGAGTCGTCAAGCGCAAATTTAGGGAACTGGGATTTAAGGCCCCTGAATGTTTACCTCTCTTAAAACAGCGGGCTCATTCCCCGGTAACGGTAGCTGAAAGGTTACTCTTTCAGGAAGCAAAGCGTTGCAAAAGCGGGCTTAAGAAGTGCAGCGTGCGGTCATGCAGTCAGGCGAAACCCGCTATCAGCTTTACACGTACACGCCACCCTACAAGCAGGGGAAACAGGCTTTACGCATGGGCTCAGAAACCTATCGTTTAGAGATTCCCTGGGAATTTCGTGCCCATGCCGGTTCTAATTCTCCATGTTTGGTAGATGGGTCGGTGCGAAGACTGGTCAGCATGTTAAGAAATGAAGTCGTCACGAAAGAATTCGGGCCGGGCTGGCACGACTAAAGCCCCGAGGCGAGTTACGGGACCACTCGTGACCGCCAGTCTACGTCACAGTAAAGTCTAAGCAGCTATCAGGTCTCTATCTGAAGAATTCCGGCAAGCTAGCTAACGGTCAAACAGAACAGAACAATCTGACAGGCTACAAATGGTTCGAAAACATCACAGGGTGCATTTACAGCATAGTATCGTCACACTGGCGAGATGTATAGGTAGTGAAAAATGCATGGCAACGTGCGAGAGCGAAGTTCACATAAACAGCGTCCTTATCGACGAGGAGTGATGTTGGTGGAAGTAGAACTCTCGACTCAAGTCTCTCACGTTCGTTCCGTCAGAAAATCGCCAATTTGTTATGACGTACGGAGATACTTTGCAGGCATGGAGCTGTGTGTGTTATTGAGGTATTACGGTACTTACATGTTGAGGGAAGGGTGTTGTAGGGCCGAGCCGATGGAAAGACTAGCGAGGAGAACCAGCGCAGCCAGCCTGGTCGCCGCCATGTTGAATTGTGCGGAGCCTCGTTGTGACGGACAGGTGCACGCCCCTCCCCAAGGCCTCATTAACATCGTCTGTAAATAGACGCAGAAATGACAGAAAATTGACTCGACATTGGCAATAAGCGTAGGCGAGATGTCTTAAAAACGTTTAATGATGATCTAAGTAGGCACAACTTTGGGAAGATCGATTACCGCAGGCAGTTTGTGATTATGGATCCGCTAACCGGACTAACTCCTAATTTCCCTGGAAAATTGCGGCAATTTCACAGCTATCTAAAAATGGCAGGATAAAAGGGATGTGAAGAACTTGAAGACGTCTGGGGATTTTTCTCATAATATGAACTGGGGAGCCGACTGCCATTAGGGTTGGGGCAGCGCTAATGAAGCGTTCAATCACACAAAGCACACACAAAAGGACCGAAGAAAAGTGCCCGCGTCGAAACTATCGGGCAGCTTCTTGGAGTGACTCCCAGGAATTCATCCCCACAGGAAATCTATGAAATATCTCTTCCCGGTCCAGCTTTGCGTCTGGACTTCTACCTTTCCACATTCATACATGTACATGTAGTTTCTGTTCTTCAGCACTTATGCCGGTGCCCTTTTATATATACCAGAACACAATTTCATCCATATATAGATAAAATTCTGCTTGTTTTTTTTCTCTCGGACATCTAAAGATTTGGCTCGCGGTTGGCGCGACTGATTGTCCATAAACAGTTTACGCTAAAATTCCGTCCTAGATTAGCGCTCCTGATTTGGTGCTAATTGCGCGCCCTTATCTGTGCCATATATCACAACCTCTGCTCCCTGTTCCGTTTAGCGTCATAAAGAAATTTGTCTGAAACATGCGCCTGTCTCTTCTAATAACACCGAACATACCACTGCTTTTAAAATTCAAACCGTTGACCTAAAAACGCTTCTGACTCCCTCTTGCGTCACCAGACTGAGAGATTATCACAAACGTTCAGATAAACAATCCGCCAAAAGTCGCGCTTGACGCTCGAGGTGTGTCTGTCCCCAGTTGAACTTCTTTTTACATACATTTTTACAACATTGGAATTGTAAATGCAAAGCCGGCGCACTTCTATTTTTATACCGTCCGCATTCTATCTGTGAACGTTAAAAAGAAATGAGCTCGAGCATCATGAAAAGATAGTATTGTACGCGTCGCACTTCCGTATATCCAGCCGAGTTCAAGTTGTACATCCAAAGGTCGGCATCGTTACGGCACTGAATCTTTAATTTTGTCTAGGCTAGACTGCAAATCACTACCCACTTATGGCCCTTAATGGTTATACCACTCCCCGCGTATGCCTTAAAACAAGCTTATGGCAGAAAACTTTTTCTGAGAATCTCGTAGCTCGCTCGTAAAAAAATCTCATCCCAGTGGTTCATCCACTTGTGCTGAACACGAATTGACATGCATTCTGGCGGCATTACGGTCTCATCAGAGGGAGAGAAAAAAAATCGAACTCAGACCTCACGGTACCCTAGCGGGGCAGGAATCGACGCAGTAATTAAAACTAATGCGATACATTTCTCCAGAGACTCGGGCGAATCCCGCGTACTTACCTGTCCAAATTAATTTCACCACTTCGATCAAGCGGAGGGGAGAAAGCGGGCAAGTCGGGAGTCTGGGAGAGACGCAGCGGAGCATGTAACTGTCAGATAGGCGTGTAGCATATGGGTTTTAATGCTTCAAGTTTATTCTCTCGTGCATCTGTGAAATAGCATGCTAGCACATCTCACAGCGCAAGATTTCAGGTTTGACATTCATTTTTAATATGTTCAGGGTAAGAAAACGAAACCAAATTGAAGGAAACAGGTTGTACTATACGTGCTATATCATCTTATGGCATAGCTCACCATTACAAAATCAGCTCCAAATATTCTTTAGAAATTCTTACCTCATCCGGCTTGATACAATCACAATATATTACGAAGTAGCTAAGGCAAGTTTTGTCATATCGTTGACATGCTATATAAGAAAATAAGTCATTTAGAGATGCATGCAGCTAACACTGACTTTATTCTGAAAACTATGCAAAATAGCGGGCGCGCAGCCAATTTTTTTTCTGTACCATCGTTGCACAATACAAAACGTTTTGTTGACTACGTAGTCAAGGATTAAAGTGTTTGAAGGAGTGGGGAAATGAAAGCTGCGAACATAAAAGTTTTGTAGCCTCATGCACAACACGGAGGTAGTAAATTGCCGTTTTGGTATCTTGCCATACGATGGGCGGCAAGGATCGACCCGTCGTCACTATACCGTACGGGTGATGAAGCTATGTACGTACATGAGGGAGTTAGTGTAACTTTGAGCGTCCAGGCCATTATCTGTGGATTAACTGGTCCGTGCGGGTCACGGTTACTTGCTGATAATGTACTCCCGTACAAGATGGCCACCTCGTGGAATACATCAGTGGATTTCCCTACACACCCTTGTACAAGTGGTCCGGACACCACAAAGAATACCACGCCTGGATCCAAATCTTTTCGAGATAAAGTACAAACGTCAATACGTCAGTACCCATCTTGACTTACGCCTGAACTGATTTTATTTTCCAGTTGAGTAAGGGTGATCGCGTTAGACGGGATGAAGATGTACTTAATGAATTACTAAATTATAACATTTAGACTGACAGTGCAAAAGAATTCATGCCTTGAAAGACGACAGTAATGAGAAAACTTGACAATCACTCTTTGGAGAGTAAATGTGGCAAACGGATTAACATTCAAATCTTTCGCTCTGTCTTAGATTTTTTATTTGAAGGTGTTCAAACCACTGCTTTTTTTTCGAAAGGTGTAGTGGGGTCTTTTAACGTGCGTGGGGTGTGTCTCTCTCCAAACAGGGGACCCCCATTTAACGTCCTATCCAAGGGACGTCCCTAACCAAAGCTAGCTATAGGTACTTATTTTGACCTTAGTAGAGTGAGGAAAGTCATCTAAAGTGCATTTCCCAAGGCCACAACGTCGGGGCATGTTGGTGGATTCGAACCCAGGACCTATGGGTTCCGGTCCAAACACCCATTGCAACCATTACGCCACGCGATCCCAGGTTTGCAGGAAGGAAATGTTTACAACGCTACATCAGCCTCAGCCGAACTCCCGTGACAACAATCCTGCAACCGAGACTCCATTACTTTTACTGCCGAAACAAAATATAGTTGCAATTCCCAACCATTCAATTAATATCGGCGCTGTATGCACGGGCATAAAACCCAGTGAGACAGTAATAAACGTTCGTATATCTACTGTGAATTGATATCCATAGCATCTGTTGACTGGCATGGGTTATAACCTACCTGACAATAACACCTGCCTACCAAAACTGCATCACACTCGGTTTATAGTGTAGCTAGAGGAGGCGCCCATGTCTTAAGATGGTATAAGAACGCTTGAGCTGCATATCTAGTAACATTGAATCCTTTGTTCATTGAGAACAAAAGGCAGATATAGCTGTCACGTTTAAACGTTTGATTCTTGGACTGAAAAGGGATCGCATCGGTGTAACAAATTGGATAACTATTTGTCGATCGTTTGTGTCCCAACGCCTTGTCTATCTACAATTTACATACTGTAACAAAATACGATGACTAGAAAGGAAACATACTTACCTTCACATAGTCTAGCCAAGCAAACTATTGCTCTGTTTATTCTTACGTAAATACATTCCTATATATAGTGACCAGCCTCTCGAACTCTGTCCTGCTAAATGCTACATAATGCAATCCAGCACCACAGGGTGTGTTATACAGCACCAGTTACCATGGTGATAGGTGTCTGGTTAAGGTCATTGACCTTATGCGTTTGGAGAAGAGGAAGAAGAAAAAAAGAAGAAACAGAAGAAGAAACAGAATAAAAACAATATGTTTCCACTCTACAATGGTAAACATAAGAGAAAATGCAAAGTTTTCGAAGACCCAACGTCCATACAGCACAGTTGAGTTGGTGTTTTGTATGACAGTGAATAATTCTGACAGCGCAACTACAAATATGCCCGAGTCACGATTTTAACGAGGAGCCCAAAATCACAAATCATACCGGGGCGAGTACGCCATTTTCAGATCTGATAGATCCCATTACTGCGTCGATTTTCATCCCGAGTTTATCTCCAGGGGGATCTTCGCGAGATAAGATTTCCCGGAGACGTGAAGAAGACATCATCAAGAAGGAGTTGTGCCGATCTCCGCCCACCGATTGTCGGCCCGTGGTGCGAGTTTTTGGTTTACAGCTTTAATTTCCCGGTCTCCTCCCACCTAAAGGCCCTTCACGGAGCGGAACGTGTTTTATTGTTATCGCCGTTATCTCTCATGGCTTTGGAGGACTTTTTCAATAATATTACAGGAGGCTAAGGCAGCATATGGAGGATTGGTGTTGTATACTCTCCAAGCAGAGGTTTAGGATTGGGTTTATTTTTGCAGAGTTTTAAGAGTTTTCATTGATTTTTTTTCTACTGGCATTTTTTTTCGCCAGCAAAACAAAAAAAAAGATTCCTTGTACAAAAAAGACAGCTCGATACAAACGCCTATAACATGTCAAAAATAATTCTAAGCCTAAACCCTTGCTTGTAGAGTAGATTTTTGCAGGTCACGTATTCATCGAGCACAGGTGAAAAATTCCGCAGGTCATTTTTCTCTGAATAGCGTAAATCTAACGACAAGAAATCTGAGGTTGAATCGTGCTCTACGTACGTTTTCAAGTGCTTGAATGATGACTCAAAGGCATCACACATGCTCAACGACCACGTTGTATTTCTGAAAATCTGGAGAGGTTCAAATATGAACACCTTCATCCCTCACAATTTGAACCACATTCTGTTGAAACATATACTGTAGTCGAGAAGAATAGTTCCACTCGCAATTTGATAGTGCCATTTACCCTAGAAAAAAGTGCGTATGGATATCATTTTAGAGCTATACGATATACGGTATGCCAATGTTGATGGCCAATGTCGGATGCTGGGCCGTGGATTTGTGTGAGTACAAATTCGAACTTGCGTGGTATTTATACCTACATTTTAGGCTCAATATAAGTATTCTATCTAGTACACAAAAATATTTTTCCAGACG